TTAAATGAGAATATAAAAATACCACCATCTGGGTTTCCCTCCATGACCTGCTGCCTCGATGATGCCACAGATAAACAGCAGAAACTGGATGGATTTTCGCATCGCAACCAAATAAATATCAGCTTTCAATCTCTGTGGTCAGATCAGATCCCTAAATAAACTGAAACATGTTTTTCGCGCTGGCAGTGCTAGAAGGGCGTCTGTGACTTATAATAAATTCAGGTGAGGCTCAGTCTCCAGGTGAAGTTTTTTTAAATTCAATTCAGTTTATTTATACATAGCGCCAAGTCACAACAAAATTCATCTCGGGGTACTGAACAGAAACATTCACATACATAAAAAGTAAGTTAATAGTGAAGTAGCCATCGGATTGCTTTGAGTTAATATATAAATGATGTTTGGTTCTTATTGTTCTTCTGTTTGTTCTCACAGGTAATGTGCGAATCTCTGACCTCGGTCTCGCTGTGGAGCTGGCCGACGATCAGTTCAAAATCAAGGGCTATGCTGGAACTCCAGGTAGGTTCAGTGAAGAGATCAATATTAATAATAATAATAATAATAATGAATTTACCTCCTAAATCCTCACCAACACACCCATACGTCTCCTTTAGACCACAATACAGAAATTAAACCAAATATATTTTTAATATTCAACTTAAAACAGGTTACAATTAAGAAAATATACCAAAATGAGAGGAAGTAAAGAGAGAAGGTTGTAGTTTGATGTGTGGTAATCAAGAGTGATTTTTTTTTCTCTTCCCAGTAACAATGTTTTGTTCTGTTTGCATCTGAGACAGTAGCTGCAGGAAACTGATATAACAATATGATATATAAAGGGTGACAAAAGGTCTCTGAGGAATATAAAATAAAATTTAAAAAAAACATTGAACTCCTCCACCTAATGCAAAGACTCCACCCCAACCCGATGGGGGCATTCCACTCATTTCTGGTTGAAAACCAGGGCCTCAGACTTGGAGGAACCGACTCATTCCAGTCGTTTCACACTCGGCTGCGAACCGCCACAGCGCACGCTGAAAGTCACGGCCCAAAGACACCAGCAGAAACACATCATCTGCATAAAGCAGAGATGAGACCCTGAGGTTCTCACAGAACCCCTCCTCTTCACGACTTCACCTTGAGATTCTGTCCATGAACACCACAAACAGAATCAGAGACCAGAGATAGCCCTGGCAGAGTCCAACACGCACCGAGGACAAGCTTGATTTTGTGCCAAGGACACTGACACAGCTCCTGCTTTGGTTCCACAGGGACCGGATAGCCCTTAAAAGCAGCCCTGGCACCTATACTTCCACAGCACCCCCCCCCCCCCCCCAACACACACACACACAGAAGCCTTAGATCTACAAAACACATGCAAATGTAGACAGGAGTCAAACTCCCATGGACCCCCTTAGCAATACTGCAAGGGTGAGGATCTGGTCCATTGTTCCAGGATAAAGGAGGAGTTCAGGTATCTGGGTGTCTTGTTCATGAGGATTGGTAGGATGAAGCATTAAATGGATCAGGGACCTACTGAAGACGATGTCCCCATCCAGGTTGCTTCGGTCTGTCATGGTGAAGAAAGAGTTGAGTCAAAAGGCAAAGCTTTCAATTTACTGGCATGTTTACACTCCAACTCTCACCTGTGGTCATGAGGTCTGGATTGTGACTGAAAGAACGAGATCCCAGATACAGGCAGCCAAAGTGAGCTTACTTCATAGCCTTGAAGATACTGTATGTTGAAGAGCTCCGTTATCCAGGTGTAGCTTGGAGTAGAGACGCTGCTCTTTCACGTCACAAAGTATCTAGTTCAGGCATCTGATCGGGATGCTCCTGGATGCCTCCCTTTGGAAATTTTATGGAATTGTCGCACTGGGAAAATACCCCAAGGCAGACTTAGAACTCTATGGAGGGATTATAAATCTTCTCTGGCCTTGGGGTCCCCCGAGAAAAGCTGGAGAGTGTTGCTGGGGAGAGGGATTTCTGAGTTTGTCAGGTCTGAGACCTGTTTCCTCCGTGACATGGCAAAACGGTAAAAGTGGGAGTTGGAAAAAAGCATTGATTCAAGATGAAAACACCTAAACCTGTTTAAGCAAAAACAAATCAGCTAAATATTGATATGAACAAAACAAATCAAAGTTTAGTAAATTGATAACCCAGAGAATTAAGACCTGAACTGTATTTTTACACAATATTAAAAAGTTTAAATGAATTTTGATCCTTCTGTGACCTCTTTCCTGTCATTTACAGGTTTCATGGCTCCAGAGCTCCTTAAAGGAGAGGAGTATGGTTACTCTGTCGATTATTTCGCTCTGGGTGTCACGCTTTACGAGTTTCTAGCTGCCAAAGGACCCTTCAGGACTCGAGGAGAAAAGGTAGACAAGCGGTGGGAGGCATTGACTTTCCAGTGAACCTGTCTCAATGTGCCATCACACGATTTTAGAGCTCAAACACGCAACATAATGATGCTCCTGCAAAAAACAACCAGATTTGTTGAATTTACACATTACAGAATTAAAAAAGCATTGTACAGCTGGAAGCCAGACTTTATCTTCTTTGGTAGCTAATTTAATCAATTGTTAACGAAAAGAAGTGATTAGATCAGTCAAGGTTTTTTTTTATTCATCAGGTGGAAAACAAGGTGGTGAAGCAGCGGATTCTGAACGATCCCGTTATGTATCCAGAAAAGTTCAGCAAGGAGGCCCGGTCCATCTGCGAGGGTCTGCTGTGCAAAGAGGTGGACCGGAGGCTCGACTTCAAAGACGGGTCGTGTGACGAGCTGAGGGAGCACGCCTTCTTCCGTAAGATCAACTGGAGGAAACTGAACGCAGGTCAGAATCAGAATAAGCTTTATTATCATTGTACTGAAATGCAGTGAGATAATGTTCGTAGTCATTCGAAAGATGGGCGGAGTACACATTGCTGCTGCTCCTTGAGAGCGTGGCCCCTTATCCTTTTTCAGAATACTTTTTAGATAGGAAAAGAGGAAAAGTTCATGAAGATAGGATAGTGGTATTACAAAAAAAGATCTCTTCACACCTTGTCCTTATCAGTGTTTTATTGGTGTCAGCCGGATAAGCATCCACAGGGTAGACATAGCTTTTCTTTAGTTTACACATATCTCAGAAGAAATTTCATAAGTTGGCCTGCTTCGGGGCCAAACGGGGGATTCAGATTCAGATAAGCCACAGTTGTTGGTTTTTTTTTCAGGCAGACTGTTTTTTTCTTGTCAGCCTTGAGTTCTGCTGGTACTTTTAATCCAAAATGGCCAGATTTGAGGGCATTCCACTGGTCCGTGCATATGAGCCCCCTCCAAGGTCGCCCCCAACATGCTGGCAAGTCTCAGAAGCCGCAAGTGGCATGCAATTCTCATAAATCGCTTCCATCTTATGGTTTAGCTCCCAAATCAGTTGATTTTGAGTACTCAAAGCACGAACCAAACCTTCACACAAGGTTGGCAGCTTTGCCGTGGCCGAAACTGCTGCCGCTGACTTCTTCAATAGCCGATAACATAGGAATCCGCCGATGCCAAAAAGCAGAAACCGTGCTATCATGGTTCCAATTATATAAAAATCTTCAGCGTCCTCCTGAGACAAAAAGGAAAGACACATCAGCTCCCAAACTCCCCACGGATTCATGATGTACCCTGTCGCATGTGTCTCAGCAGGGTCTCAGTGGGGCATAAGGGCTCTCCAGGACCCTGTTGCTTGGTTGAAAAGATTTTATTGATTGCTTTGAAAGTCCAGCTGACCAGATCCATGACGGTAGTTTTAGTTTCAGAAGATGTGTAAAATAGGAGCTCCGACACAGACAGAGAACAAAAAAAAGCAGGAGGACAGGAGAGCAGGAGGAAAAAGCGTCCACCTTGCACGAGAGCGAGTGAGGAAAAACAAAGAAACAAAACAAAAGACTACAGGCGTCACCGCCTTGTTTATTTTTTTTAGAGAAAAACTGCAATTTATTTGACTGTGAAATTAAACATATAATTTTTTTAATAGTTATTGACAAGTTGTGACATTTCTTCTTAAAGGTTTTCATTGCAAATATGAAATATAGCATAAAAGAACTAGAAAGAGTTCAGCTGCAGGAACAAACTCACTTTAAAAAGCATAAAACAGTGGCAATAAAACCTGTCAGTTTTACAGATATTTACTTTGGCTGAGACTGACCAAGATCTTTGTTTAAAATGCTACCATTAAAAGTTGGATTCCACTCCGTTTGTCTGTTAGCAAAATATGTCATGAACCGTTTGACGTAGCACTTCAGCTGATTAACTTTTGGAACAACCTGGCCCAAGATGGCCGCCATCTGAATCAGCTAAATCTCAGTTAATTTAGCACATGCTGAGCTAAAGTTTGGTGTGTAGTAGCTGAGAGTCTTCTCCAACTTATATCAAAGTTCTTGCTCAATAAATCCAGGTAAAAAAAAAAAATTCAACAAAATTAGGTCAGGTCCTCTGGATGGTTTCATTTTTTGTTGAAACATTTCGTTCTTCATCCAAAGGACTTCATCAGTCCAAGGAGACACAACAAACTCTTTAACTTTGTTGGATTTTTTTAAACCTGGATTATTGAGCATGAACTTTGATGTTTTGAACCACGTTGGCTATGACTGCCTCAGAGGAGTCAATGGGGGAGAGGGCGGATTCCAGAAACAATCTTATTACCATCAAACTGGTTGGCCCACTATGTAAGTATCGTAAGCCATTTATGGGATTGAGTTTGCTGTGGCTTCTCGAAATGAAATTTTTTTGGATGAAAAATGAAACATTTCAACAAAAAAAAGAACTCGTCCAGAGGACCTGACTTAACTTTGTTGGGTTCTCTAATTTATATTCCCAGATAATCTTCAGCCCAAATTTATTTTACAAGTTTTGACCCAAACACGACAACCAAATATTGATTTTAGTCTAAATCACTGTCATGAAAGGAGGCGGGTGATATGTATTCCTTCTAAGAATGTGAGGCCTTTAGAAAAAAACAATACAAGAGTCTCAGCTGACTGAAGAGCAGGCGTCATTAAATCAGTTTATGATATTAATCTGGTCTCTCGACAGTAATCTGTCCAAACGTCTGTCCCCTCAGGGATCCTGGCTCCTCCTTTCGTCCCAGACTCCAAGACGGTGTACGCCAAAGACCTGGACAACGTCGGGGCGTTCTCCACGGTGAAGGGCGTGGCGCTGGAGGACGCCGACCGGCAGTTCTTCGACGAGTTCGCCTCAGGGAACATCTCCATCCCCTGGCAGGAGGAGATGATAGAGACCGGGATCTATGGAGAGTTGAACCTGTGGGGCCCCGGGGGCGCTCTGCCCAACGACCTGCGGCGTGAGTCCATCCTGGAGCAGCCGCCCAAGACCTCCACCTGCTCGGTGTCCTGAGAGGGGTTACCATGGCAACAGACAGCCGCTGCTAACGAGGGGGTTTTACATGAGCTGGTGTGTTTTTTTGTCATAAGTTATTGCTAAAAGTTGCAGCGAGAAGTTCTAAATGATAATATTCACACGACTTTTGCACCCCGCTGCTTTTAAACAGTTCAGTTATTTAATTTATCAACATTAAAGAAACACATTGTGTTTCTTACATTGCGTAATTATTTATTTCTCACATTCTTACTAGTTTTAAGATAATTGTTGTGTATTAATGTGTGTTACAAGCCGATGTTTATGAATTTAGTTTATTATATAATTGGGCTTTTACACTCAAGTTAATCTCCATTTCCACCTGAGGGTAAATAGTAAATAGCTGCAAATCTATTTATAGAGGTTTTTTAATTTGTATTTCTGTCCAATATGCTTGTATTTTTTGTGAAATAAGTGTTTTAAGTCACACATTCACTTTTTTAAATAAAATAAATACCTGGAATAAAAATAAAGGCCTAGCATTCCTTGAAGGAATGCATATCACCCGCCACCTTTTCGCATCTGAATTTTAGACCAAGATGATGAGAATTGTTGGAGTTGTAACCGTTTAATTAAACCTGGCAAATAAACGTACGATCTGATGTGGTATTGAGTGTTGTCATGTTCGAAGTATGTGTTGGGGATGACTCTCAGCTACCACCACACCAAAACGTAGTTTAGTAGCTGTAAAACTGACTGAGTTGTAGCCATTTTGGTTTTAGCTAATGATGATTAATTGTGGCAGCCATCTTAATCAAATTGACTTCAAACATTAAGTTGCTTGAAGATGTCTAGATGTATACCCAAGTGATTACTTTAAGAAAGTTTTGTCATGATATTTTGCTAACAGACAGAGTTAACATCAACAGTTACTGTTAAAGTTTTATTCAACAATATCAAATAATGACTTATGCTGAAAATATGCGTGTGGGAATGATGATCAGCTACTGCCGCACCAAAGTTTAGCTTATTATATGTAAAAATGACAGAATTGTAGCCATTTTTGTAGTTTTTAAGGTCAGTTGACTTTGGTGGCCATCTTGATTCAAGTTAACTCAAAACAGAAGGCAGTTGTATATCTGATAATTATTTTATTTTATTTAGAAATTTATTCATTTAATTAAAAACAAACAACTATATACAATAGAAAAAAAAATATATACACTCAAAAAATAAAATGAAAGGCAGCAGAAGAATAAATATTATATCTGCCCCTTTTATCCCAAATATATTCAAACAAAAGTTATTTACAAAAAAATAAAAAATAAAATCTGAAATGTTCATTAAAATATGTCCATTGGTTTACAATATATTTTGCTAACAGAGTTTGTTTCCAGGGTGAATTGCAAAGTTTTAAAACGAGGTCTCAGACAGTTAGTGTTCAGAAAGTGTTGAGGATCAGTCTCATCTACCACCACACCTAATTTTTTTATATATAAAAAAACTGACCGACTTACTGACATTTTTGTTTTTTCAAAGCTCTCTGTGGTGGCCATCTTGGATCAGGTTGATTCAAAAAGACAGTCAGTTGTAGAGGTACATCCAGTACTTCCTGAAAGTTTCATTAAAATCTGTCCATTGGTTTATGAGATATTTTGCTAACAGACGTTGAAAAACACTGCAATCTGCCTTGATTTAAAACTGAGTGTGGCTTCCTCCTCTGACCAGATCACAGCTAAAATGAGAAGACTAAACCTCCTGAAGCCTTGTGTCAAAATGACCCAAGGGCAGCAGGAGGGTTAAATAAAGTATTAACCAGTAGAGGGTGCTGCACCCTTTCATTCATTTTTCCTCCAATAACTCCATAAAACCTACATTAACGCATCATTTGATCATAAAGCCTACACACATTCTGCACATAAATATAATTTTTTATCAAATTAAAGCTGCATGAAACTCATGTAGGATGACTAATTTAATTATTCATCACCAGCAGCTGATTGGTTCCTTTCGCTCCCCCGTCTCTCTTTGTCTCCTGGGCTTGAAATAAAAGTTGGACGCTCCTGAGCTCACACACTCTCTCACACACAGACTTTTTCTAATCATCAGCCCAGATCTGTGGATTGTAAAGACAGAACCATCCCTGGACTCCGTGGAGGATGAGGACACTATTCTGAAGCAACAAGGACAAAAACCAACACCAACCACCTGATCTGAGTATTTTTTTAAATATATTTCTGTACCAAGTGGATCAACATGCAGCAGCCTGAAACAGCACAGACAGCTCAGCAAACCATCACAGAAACTCTGGACTCAGCAGGTAGAACCAGCCACCTGTTCTGTTTCTTTTTCAACGTTTGCATCGAAATTCAACCTTTAAATGTGTAAAAACACAAACACATCTGAAAGCATTCTGTAAAGACTGAAACAGATACTTTTACTGTAGTACTTTGTGAAATACAGTTATTTAATTTACTCATATATGTGAATAAATTACTTTCAGAGTCATTTTGGGGATTTTCTCACAAGTTGAGTGAACTTAAAGCTTATTTTAGGTTTTATTTTGTATAAATTCAATAATTGGCCACATTTTTCAGTTGTTTTGAGTTGTTAAAATAAACTAAGATCATTTTAGAAAAACCTTAAGGCTTTATTAACTTATTGGAGCACAACATTATATTTTTAATAACAAAACACAGACGTTTTGTAGTTTTTTGTCAAATCAAAGAAGTCAAAATAACATTTATTTTAAATTAAAAATCTTGAAAATTTAGGCATTCTTGGTTATTTTTACAAAAATTAGAATTTGAGTACAACTTATTAGTGAAATAAAGTTAATACATTTTGAGTTCTGGTAACTTTGTTATTTTATTCAGTTGTGTTGTTGAAGATTGCAGAGCAGTTTGCTGATTAAAATAATTTTAAAAACTGTATGATAAGATAAATCAGAACATTAATATAATCAAAACTAAATAAATTATGTAAGTAATCTACGGCCAAGCTGTTGATAAAAAAGGTATAATCCATAAAGACGTAAAATAGTCAGCATATTTTGCTTTCAATATTATCTTTTTTTAACTCATAGTGAACTCAGTGATTGTGCAACTTTTATTTAATCTTTTTCCCAAGACCATTTATGTGTGTAGCACCTACTACAGTAAATGTGCTTAAAATAAATATATTTTAATGGTTTTGTCCTCCCTGTCAGCTATGTACAAGCGCCGGGGGAAAACAGCTCTCTGGATGACCATCTCCCTGTTGTTTCTGGCTCTGGTGATCCTGACCATCGGTCTGATCGCTACCACTCGTACCACCAACGTGCCCGTCTCTGGATATTATCCTGGCATCGCAGTGAGTCATAGTTTAACCACCTGCTGCCTTTGGGTCAAAATGACCCACAAGAACTCAGTTTTAACTGTAAATCGGCAATTTGAACCAAATGACAACAATCTCTTTGCTCATTTACTGTAGACCCAAGGGTTTTATTGGTCAATTTGACCTAAGTGCAACAGTCTTGTTGGTCATTTTGACCCAAGAACAACAGTCTTGTTGGTCATTTTGACCCAATGGCAACAGTCTTATTCGTCATTTTGACCCAAGAACAACAGTCTTGTTGGTCATTTTGACCCAAGGGCAGCAGTCTTATTCATCATTTCGACCCAAGAACAACAGTCTTGTTGGTCATTTTGACCCAAGAACAACAATCTTGTTGGTCATTTTGACCCAAGAACAACAATCTTGTTGGTCATTTTGACCCAAGGGCAACAGTCTTGTTGGTCATTTTGACCCCAGGGCAAGAGTCTTAT